GGATCACGCTACAGTAACACTTGATGCTTAGTCTGGGTTTTTCCCTGCATCCTTTGCAAGACAAGTGTCGCATAAATTATTAGTTATCTGTGGAGGAACCCAAAGCGTCTCCTGAATGAGCAGTTTAACACATACTGTTAGACATGTCTGGGAAATCTGTGTGAGTATGTGGAGAGATTTGGACGGTTTAACACTTGGACACCTCTCTGATGCCTGCTGCGATAAACAGTAAGAGATTTCTGCCAGAATAAAATGTGTTTGTGTTCAGCATAGGGTGCAGAAGACGTGTTCGGAATGAAGAAAGCGGCCCCTTAAATAGGCTTGCCTCCGTAATCACTCCAGGAATAATAGGAATCCGTCAGAGCAGAAGTCTTCAGAGAGAGTTCTAGGCTCTGGAACAAAACCAGCAATCGCAGGCAGAGATGCTGCACAGCCACAGGGAATCTGCAGTGGAGACTTGGCTCTTTTTTCTCCTGGAGATAAGAAATGTTGCATGTTCATTTGCAACCGGAGAAACAAGACCGGGGTAACTCATACAGTTTTGTAAGATAGAGTTCATTCCGCTCAGTATCTGAAGAATTCAAAATAATGCTGGAAACAGAATGCTGGAAATACCCTGAGATCATCAGAAATGCATTAGCATTAACTAAGACGTGCTCACCTGAGGCCCCCTACCCCTCCCCAACAGAAACCACCAACAACACAGTACAGTTGTGCACGGGTGCGAGTGCAGAGCCGGGTTTCACTCATAGACGGTGTCTAGGTGGCGCTGTCCAGCTTGGAAGATGTTTCTCACAATGTTAGCCTTTCTTCTGATGGGGTAGCGAAGTGGGTGCATGTGTCGTCAATCAGATTTTAGAGTGTTATCTTTAATGAGTGTCTGATTACCATTTCATACACCAACTGTGTGGACTGACACTCCCGGTAATCAATCAGGAAACAAAATTAAGGGCTTGGGGGTTGGTAAGGAACATCCTGCACCCCCCACCCCTATTTCAGGTGCTTCTCCAAGGGAGCAGCGTTTGGTCCTGTTTCCCACCCTGTAGTTCTCTGACGTTCTGGCTTCCTGTCAGTGAGGATAATCAGCTTTGGTTTGCCAGATCATTAACAATTCGCTGTGATGGCTGGCAGGGGCTTCTAACCAGAAGGTTGCTGATTCAAGTCCTTGCTGGGCCGCACTGTATCTGAATGAGGTAATTACCCCGAACGACTCCCATGTATGAACAGGCACAAAATTGTGTTGCTAATTTTAAGTGCCTCAGGTCGAGCTGGTAGTGTCATGTTAACAAATCCTGCTTGCTTAAGGTCTTGTGAGGATGTGTTTAAACAGCTTGAGACTGTATGACTGTACATCGAGACTGTATGACTGTACATCGAGGCTGTATGACTGTACATCGAGGCTGTATGCCTGTACATCGAGGCTGTATGCATGTACATCGAGGCTGTATGCATGTGCATTGAGGCTGTATGACTGTACATTGAGGCTGTATGCATGTGCATTGAGGCTGCATGTCAGGTCATACTCTATGCAGAAAATTAAGTGATGTCATCTAAATATGTATTAAATTTGATTAAAATTTTAAATACAAGTAGCAATACAAATAGCTTTGAAAATGAATTCAGGAAGCAGAGATATACTGGTGTGGAAAATGACTACTGCTACCATATTATTTCTGCAGCGCTGAAATAAATGTAGATAAGAATACAGCAGGAAGGTGAGAAACTTTGATCTAAAGACTCTGTGTGAAAGTTTGTCCGCTCTGGGGCAAAAACACATTGCTTAAAAAAAACAACAGAGGCCACTGTCATCCTCGCCACTAACGGTTGTGTTAATGCCTGACCTCTCCTCCAGTGCTTGCTTACATCTGCTAGATTCTGTGTGCCCTGTGCTGATTGGCCTGTCCCATGAGCGCCAGGCCCGGCAAGCCGTCACTGAGTTAGACCGTTGGCCAAGGCCCGCGGACTGATCCAAAGACGCCTTCCCTCCGAGACACGGAGGCATTTTGTTTTTACAGCTCATGCAATCACACATGTTTACATGCAGATTAACATGCCTCCGCTGACATCCCGGTATGGAAGACTTCCCATCAAAGGCTAGATTGTAGAATGGCGCTTCTTTAAAACCGAATCGTAGGTGTTATTCTTTTCTTTCTGTTGTTTTTATTCCCCTTCCGTATAGGAAATGACAGAACATGTCATAACTGAACCTCATCTGATTTTACATCAGTTCCCCCAAGTTTTCAGGAAGAGAACCTGGAGTGTAAAATCATTCTGTGCAATACACAATAATATTGACACAAATCTGTCCTATTAAGGTATCTATCCAATATTAAGGTATTACTATTTCTTCTGTATGTTTATGCACAGTGTGGCAGTGAGTTCCATAGTTGGATTATTTGTTTATTAACTGCTTGGATTCCTGGAAGTCCAAGTCACCTCATCCACCAGACTCTTTGATTAGCATAGCATGCTAGCATATGTCCTCCAGCAGGGGAGAAGGGCCTAATGAAACAAAACACTACATGGTCTCGGTCCTCTGGTGGTCCAGGTCACAGGTTCTCCTGAAATCAAATAATGATTGCTTGTGCGGGAGCATCACATGGACCGGGGGGCAGAGTTTATTCCAAAGTGCCAGGAAAGTGTTTGGACAGTGTCCAAAGATCAAGGAAGCATTTCCTCTTCACTGGGGGATTTCTGCTACATACATGAAATAAATGGACGACAGACATTTATCAGCATGAAGGTTTTACTGTATATCCTACCTGGATATTCACCCAGAGAATTCTAACACTTCTAAAGCCAGATTTATGACTGAATGACTATAAAATGAGGCATAATTATTTACATTAAAAGGAATGGATGGTTTTTATTAGGCGAAATTTAACATATCCGCAGCCTTTTTATATTTAAGATAATAAAAACCGTAATTGGACCAATGTATCCAAGTACTGCACATGGATAATTCATAGACTTCCTGTGATCTCTGAAATTTAAAGACGTTGCTCGAGGCTATTCATTAGTAGTAAATAATTAAGCAGAATTAGTAGCACAAGAGCATTAGCACCAAGGTGAAAGTGCTTTTATTATTTTATAAAGTTTGTGAGTCCTTCAGGGTTTTTCCACTTAAGGATACGGAGAAATATATCAGCCCAGATGAATTTCTAACCCCAAGGTGCTTACAGCACTAATTATTATTTTTTTGAAGTTACTCTGAATCGATCATCTCTCCAACCTCTGCTTCCAGGTCTAAATGGTTTGTCTTTACCTTTTTCCACTTTTTGAACCCAAAGCGTGGCATTTTTTTAAAGCCCCAAGAAACTAGCAAACACAACATTTTTCTTGTGTTGTGTTTGCTCATGGAAGTATTACTTACACAAAAATGTTCTGAGGGCAGAAGGAAAAATGATTGGTTCAGAGAGATAACTAACCAGATTGTAGAGGAGGTGGGATCAAGCAACTACAGGAGGCAGGACCAACCAATCATATGTCCTGATCCTGCATCCCGTAGTTGCTTGGACCCACCTCCTCTACAGTCTGATTGGTTATCTCTCTGAACCAGTCATTTTTCGTTATACCCTCAGAACATTTTTCGTAGGTAAAACTCCCACAAACGTTGTGTTTAAGCATAAAATCCCAAAAAGTGGGTCCTTCATTTCCATGCCCAGCATCCGCATGAGTAGATTAATCCAGTAGGTGTGATCCCCGTCCAGATGAGAGATAACGAAGCCATTTCACTGCTACCAGTGTGGACTGATGTGCCAGTGACAGGGCAGTAGTGAATGATGGCCGACTCCCAGAATGCCCGGCTCCCGGGGGAGGTGTCCTGGCAAAGACATCTGCTCCATGCCAGCGTTAAGTGCAAAGGCCTATTAAATATGGAGCTACATACGGCTTGTTTACATTATCCGGCACCGGGCTAATTCATCACGGTCCTCGCACACTATTTACAGAGCCAGGCACAGGGCGAAGATCGAGCGGATGTCAGCGCAGATGGCTGTTTAGCCCTTACCTCTGCCCATTTTTATTCTCTAATTGCCATCTTATTGTATCTGCTCATCATGACCTCGGGATCGTTAATACAGGAAGCTCCTGGTGAGGAAAAAGGCAGAAAAAAAAAGGGAAGCTGAGGATGTAATGTGGAGTCTGTAGTCCGTTTACCGCGCTAGATCCTCAGCAATCCGCGGTACTGCCGCTCACTGCAGCCTGTGGATCACGGCAGAACTTTCTGCCTGTTTTCTTATTATACATTTTGTGACATGGTGCAGAAAGTGAAGCGCTCTTGCTCCTTGCGTTGCCTTGGCACCGTCTGTACTAGTGGTTTCACATCTTTTCCCGGCTCCTGCCTGACTGTCCGAGGGATTGCTGTCGCGGCTCGCCGCTTCTGCGAAAAGTTTGAAGGAGAGCAACTTTATTTAACGCGCATGCACCTGGAGGCTCAGGAGTGAAGGGGGAAGCGCGGCTGGCGAAGCCGGTTGGCTAGGATCACCAGGTTTTTCTCACCATAGTTAGCCCACTCCTGGCATCACCTGCAGTCGCTCTTGAAGCTCCTCCTACTTTCTGTCACATGGTGTCACTTTTAAAGACAAATTACTGTACCGTTTCGGCTCTTTGCATCACAGCCTGTAAACCATGCTGTAAGCTATCCAGCTTTTTCATTGCCATGATTTACTATTGTTTTTTAGTTTATGTCTTAGTTTAGTTTAGTTTAGTTTATATTGCATTTTCACATAGCTTTTGAGGCCGTAATTATTTATGGAGGTTTAATTTCTGTCGATTCGATTCCTGATCTTCCATTTCTAGTCTCGTCTTGGTCTCGTTTTTGTCTCGTTTGATCTAGTCTTTAACTATATCGATATGTTTTGATCCGAGAGTTTCATTTTTTGCCTACCTTTGAGAGGCGAGAGAGGCGCGTATTCTGGAAGGTTCCCCCGCCAGCCCCCCCAACCCAATTGCGTGGAAACTGAAGCCTCCCCCCTCCTGTCTCTCTTCTCTCTCCACAGACCAGATACAGCGCAGGCACGCAGGGTTTTAGGCTTCTACACAGCGCCCTACCAATGGGCCCCAACCCCAACAGGAAAAGACTGCCCTCTGCAGGGGTGAGACACGGCCGCGTTCCCACGCATGTTCACCCCCCCCTACCCCCCGCCACCCCCACCACTCCATCCCCTGTCCTCAGGAGCCAGAGCTGTAGTGGTCTGGTGGTTTTATGGTGGGAAACCTGGGTATAACCCACAGACCATCCACCCCCTGGCACGCTCTCTCGAGGCCCCCAGCTCTACCCTGTAGCACTGTCTCCAACCGAATAAAGTCTGGGGGCCCAGGGCCTCCGTGCTGCCGCCCTGCTACCTTCACCTGCATTAACACGAGCTCCTGACGTCACTCGCTATCTCGGTGCCGTGCTGCCGTTTTGTGGTCATTTAGGGTTTTTACCTGTAAAACGTTCACCTAAACAAGGTCATCCCTTAATTTGCTTAACCGTCACAATATCTTTTTGAAAGTGTGACTCCCTTTTCAACAAAGCTAACCCTACCTGAGTGAAGGCAACAAGAGAAATACTTCAGCAAACCATTCAAACGGGCTCACCCTGGATAAGCTGCCTCTTGTCAGGAAACGTAGCATCTCTTTATTTCATTATGACCCCTACTAATTTCCTAATCCCTGGGAGTGTTAATAAGTAACAGGCCCGGCTGCAGGTGTAGGTGTGCTTTTTAAAGGTACGACTTAATTACCTATATGCAGCCTGTACCTGTGTGGTGGTATATGCAATCCATAAGGCAGGTGATTCCTTTGTGCCTTTTTGTATCATAAAAATGATAAACAGTCTGACACCAAACCAGTGAACAGACTCGTCTGTGTGCTTCCTTGCCCCCCCAAGAATAAAGTCCCAGTCTTCTGAGTGATGGGGGGGGGGCATGTATGTATATATATATATATATATATATATATATATATATATTCCTTTTTAATTGTTGACTAACAGCACAAAGCAGAGTAGGAGGCAGCCAAAGACTGAACGTTTGTGTTCAGTTGACGGTGCTCCAAACCCGGTCACTGCACCTTTTACACAGGAAACATCTTTTGTACCTTTCCCTCTCTGGCTCCCAACATTACACAACAGCAGATAGAGCTTTAATAATACACTTCAGAAGCTGAAAGGAAGCAGGAGAACAATAGCAACAAAAAAAAATCCGATTAAAATTAACAGGCCCGTTTCCTCTGCTATAATGATTTATATTTGACGCCCGTTACGGCGAATGAGCCGCATTGTCTAAAGTCTAAAGAAAGACGTACATGACTGCAAACTGCATAAAGGCGACCAATTATATGTTAAAGGAAACCAAAACTTTTTCCATTGCTGTCATCAGATGTTGTGGTGAGCAGAGGCAACACTCAGGAACTGACAGGCCCTGTGACATTCACACTGCCCTTTCATCTCAGCATCTGCCTTTAGCATATTCAGTTAAAAGTGGCCTCCTAGCTGCATCCGCTACCCTACCCGAGCAACCTCACTCAGCTCGCTGTTTTCCACAGCAGTTGGAAAGGGGCGCACAATAAGTTTTTGAATTGTTTCTCTCAGAGGCCCCGTTCGTTTTTTCTCCTCAAGCCACGTGCTCCTCTTACACCCTGTAACGTTAAGAGCGAACGGATCCTGGCCCCCATCCCCAGGCCCCCAGCCCCGGGCCCCCACCCCCGGGCCCCCACCCCCAGGCTGAGTGACTGGAGAGCAGATTTCCAAAAACTCCACAGGATTCGATTTCGAGAAAGTTTCTGTGGAACATTAACGAAAGTTCTTCTTTGGATTGCATGAGGATTGAGTGAGCTTTGGTTCCCAGTACTGTAACATATGATGAGGAAGTATTAAACGAGTCTCATCTCCAAAAACAAACAAAAATGGACTGCGTGAGTTTGGGAAATGTCCTCTTCAATTATTGTTTTTGGTTTTTTTTTTGAGCGATGTGGCTGCGGACGTGTCCCCGGATACGTCACAAAGCAGCGATAGTGTAATGCGGCACTGTGTCCCCATTCTCTCTCTGCTCCACCGTGAGAACTGGGTTTGAGTGATAGAAACAGCTGCCACCTCACCACCACGGGGCGCCTGAAGGTGCTGAGTTGTGGCATTGACTGATACAATATTTTTTGTAGCCTAGAGAAATGCCCTGTGAAAGGGATCGCAGCAATATTGGAGAGCTCCGGCAAATTTAGAACATGTTTTTCCAGCATTATAACTACATTGCAAGAAAATTTTGTGCAAAAAAGTTTATTATATATATACATATATATATATAATATTTAGGCCTCACTGGTCGCCATTCCCGCCTAGAGCGATGCTTACAGGCAAAGGGGAAGTGTCCCCCTCGAGCTGCGTTCACATTTCTGCCGAGGAGGTATCGAAGCCGTGGGTTTCACGCCGGGTGTTTTGGACGCCCTCTCCAGGTGGCGGAGCTTGTCACATGCTGTGCCGTGTCAGAGCTCCCGTTTGCACACTTCAGCTCAAAGTGTGAACCCAACTTTACTAGAGACACTTAAATATTTCAGATTTCTGTTTTGAATTACGGTAGCTTACACAAATGCCACAAAATTGGGAACTAAGGGATGACCCAGTATTTGCTGAGATGACGATTTTTAGGAACTATTTAAAGAATGTAGGTTCAATCAAGGCTAGTATTGGATATCTTCAATTACAGTATTTGGCTTTTTGGAAAGAAAGCTTTGCTTTTGTAGCTTCTGCCTTGGACTTGAAGGGCAATTAGTGTTATATTTGAGGGTAACTTGGTACCTGTTACCTGGGGGAAGAAGAAAAAAACCCACCACACTCTAAACTTTTGACCCAAGATAGTCACTTAAACGGCTAACAGTCCCCACTATATCACCTTGACATTTGTGTCCTAATATAACGGTCACCTTGGAAACAAGGGTGGAACTCCCCTTTCTACCTCCTGCTATTTTCTTGTTACCGGTCCTTGCTACATAATAATATCAATTCTCTATTATAAAGGTTTATTTTAGCACACTATGACTCTCTCACCTTGTTAAAAGACTCCACTTGGCAAAGGCATCTCTGCAGAGTGTGTAAAACTTTGGAAGTTTCTCACAGGAAGTGAAGTCAATTAAAATTTCCCCAGCCCTGGAAATGTTTGACAAGTTTCATTTCTCCACTTTGGGTTACGGAGACTTTTGGAGACTTCAGCTGTGCGCAGGATTGGACAAGCAGTAGCAGCAGGGACCTTCAGTTTTGTATGCAGCACAATTACATGACCAAGTACCTCTTCAGGCTTTGTAAATGGAAAAACATGCACCTTCTCAAACGTTGGCCGGCACCTTGAGATACAGTAACGGAGCGCACTGTACGGAGGTGTTCTCGTGCTCCGTTTACTGGGCTGCGTTAACTGTAGCCATGGCTACAACCTTATCTTTGTGTTAATAAGCCTGACTCAACAAGGAGGTTAAAAAAAGGCTGAAATACTGAATAGGGAGCCGTTTGGCCAGGCTTGCAAGCTCACTGTACAGCTGACTTGGAACCCATCCTGCAGGTCCCGGATGTGGCCAGTGCCCCTTATCTAGCAGTAACAGAGGCAAAGTCTCTGTGGCCACGGGCAACGCTTTCTCTCTTATGGAACGCTATGTGAGTGTGTGTGTGGTGTGTGTGTGCATGTGTGTGTGTGGTGTGTGTGTGTTGTACGCCTTGGCACAATAAAACGTTGGAAGCAGTCAGCAACATTGCCATTGTTTGCTTTGGGCGTGTTAACATCAAATCTGTCATTCCTCAGTCTCACTTCTTCCATCTCCTATCTCTGAAAGGCAACTCTGAAGAGCTGTTTTTTTTCCCCTCCCTTTTTTTTTGGGGGGGGGGGGGGGGATGACATGTTTGGGCCCTTTCAGGATTCAGGCCTGATTGTTCCAGGTTGAAGTTAAAGCCTTGCTCAGTTAATTATATAGGAACTGAAAGATGGTTGTAGGGTGGGCTGGGAGAGCCATAAATATTGCATGAACCCCATTCTGCACGGAATGACTGAAGAGTACCCATTAATTCCGCTCTGTCAGAATATTATTTTTAGAGAGTTAGTGTACCAGTGGAGGTTTTTAAAGTTGCAAGGAATTCATTTTCTCTTGAAATATTCTCTTACATAAACTGACAAAAATCTCAGACGCTCATAAAAGAGGGCATTTTTTTCCTCATTCTTTGTCCCCACACAGTTGTTACCTTCATTCCAGACATATTAATGGTCCACAGTCCTTCTAGGCCCAGCTCTGGTTTCCAGGATACTGCCAGCATCTGCGAAAACTATGCTCATTTACTCACACAAGAAACGATAAGGAGATGCTCAAAAAAAATCCTTTACAACTTTAATCTGGAGTTGCTACATAAACAAATTTAAACACATTACTTCTCAGCACTTTCAACCTATCGGACCGGCTCCGACTGTGATTTTGTATTTTAATACATAGACGTATGACAATTTACACATTTTCAAAAGTACATACACAACCTGTTCAGTGGTTTAATCACCTACATTAAGTGCAATATCAGCAGTCAGCTGTAGCAGTAGGTTAAAATAAAATACCAGGCAGTTTTGCATTGAAATAGCTGGAAATAGATGTTCTGTGCGTAGGCCTAGGTTGTGCCAAATCCTGATCTGTATACATTAGTTACAAAGACTGTGAGCTTACTTGGTGCAGTTTCACACAAGTGTGGCAACATTATATAACGCAAGGAAAGGGCTGCTGATGTGTCCAGATGTGTCTCCTTTCAACTATATTTTTTGCGCTGCAGAATTTTCATAATGCACATGCAAAGATTCCAAAGAATTTATCAGTCATTGTGTGTGTTTGGGGGGGTGATCTTACTCTTCTTACAGGTGCAGAGAGCGCAGTAGAGTGATGATGACAATTTGAGAATAATCAATTAAGCGTTGTATCAGAGGATATTACAAACTAACAGGCTAACAAGGGACCAGATGCTGTAATCTAAAGTGACAGAAAGAGAATATCCAGCTACTCAAATGGTACAGTTATGAGGATAAGTCTGTGGAAACATGAATTGGAATATTCTGGATCTCTGCATAAATGACTCCTAATGTGATCTGATCATAGGAGT